TGGAGCCAGCTCCAGCCTGTCCTGACAGCGCACGGGGGCCTTGCCACTGGGCCCAAAGGACGGCGGAGAAACAGCTGGGCAGCTCCGTTTGGGGAGCGCGCTCCAGGGGGTGGCGCCGGAAGCTGGTGCTGCTGTCGAACAGCAGGCACCATGAGGGAGAATTACCAGGGCGGGACAAGGTCACCAAGGGCTCAAAAAGCTCAAGAAATCTGCATCGGACAGATGGAAGGACGGCCATGCCTCCTAGCAGCGCGGGAGCCAGCAGTGGCTCAGTTCTGCTCCTGAGCTCCAGCCTGGGGTTGAACCAGCCTCTCTGGGGCCATGGGGGGGGTCTAAGGCAGTGGATGACAGGGCTGGGCGGTCGCTTACTTGCCTGGCTGACTGTGTATCCTCCGTCGCCCGCCACAGTCCGCCAGTCGGCAGAGGAGGTGGACATCATGCTGCAGCGGTGTGAGGGCGGGGTGGAAGCTGCCCTCCACTACGCCAAAAACATCTCCAAGTACATGAAGGACCTCTTCGGCTACCTGGAGAAGAGAACCTTTCTGGGTGAGTGGCCAGGAGCTGCTTCCCGAGACGCTGAATTCCCGAAGGCGCCATTTTAAGGGGCCATAGGGCCAGTCCAGCTCATATTGTCGTGGGTTTTATTATGTGCTGGAGGTTGCAGGGATCCCTGGATCCAGAAACAGTTTGGGGACCGAGTCTCCTAGGGCCTAAAGGCCGGAGTATGGGCCTGGAAGTCAGGATGTGGAATCCATCCGAGGCTTTGCCACCGACTCTGCATGACCTTGGGCAAGTCTCTTTGCCTCCGTTTGATCCCCTAGGCGATTAAACCGGATTTCCTATGTGAGGCACTTTAAGATCTATGGATGAAGCAGACCTATATGCATGCAAGGAATTACTGCCGTGATTGATAGAAAACAGCCTGTGTAGGTTTGGGTAGGACCTACACTATCTGTATCACTGGCATTCTTTAATCACGTTCAGTGCTGAAATGACTGAGTTTCTCCACCAAAATGAAACCCAGAGTGAGCAGGGCAAAGTCCATCCTCGCGTCTCCCTTCCTCTTGCAGAGATGGAATATGCCAAAGGGCTGCAGAAGATGGTGAACAGCTGTAAGCAGACAATCACTCAGGAGGTAGGTCCAGGATCCTGGACAAGCCCTGTGGGTCTGGGTACGTCTGGGCCCTCTCTTACGCCCGGCCCAAGCAGCGCTGGAAGCTGCCCCCAGCGGTGAGGGAAATGGTGCCGTTCCGCAGCCTCGCGCTAAGCACCGGGGGGTCGATTTTCAGGAGCACGAGGCACAGCCCAATGCTGCTGCAGCGACACTGAACTGAGTTCAAAGGGCAGCGCTAAGCACTTTGGGAAATCTCACCCCTAAGCGTCGAGGTGTGGCCCTCCGCTCCCCTGTAAAACCCAGGGGCCCTATTCCCCCACCCTGGGCCCGAGTGGGGGGAGCCTGAACCCACGCCCCGGCCTGGGGGAGGGGGAGCGCTCTGCCAGCCGGGCGAGGAGGAAACGGCCGCTGTGCACGGCTCTATTGCACGCCCTCCCAGCGCTATGGCGTGAGCGGCCGGGGGTGAGGTGACGCACTTCGCTTGCCATGTGTGATGCATCTCTCGGTGAAAGCCAGCGCTGGCCGCACACAGCCCGTCCGGGCCTCGCACTCCGCTCCCTCTCCTGTGCTCCCTTTGGGTTCTCGCTGTGGCAGTGACTCTCGGGGTGGGGGGTAATTTTCCAGCCCCACATGCCGTTCCTGTCGATCTACTCGCTGGCTCTGGAGCAGGATGTGGACTATGGAATTACAATCCTGCAAACCGCGGCCGCCTTGCAGAATCATACCTTCCTGCAGGTAAGACAGTGCCCCTCCCCGCCCGGCTGCATGGTGCAAAGGGCTGGGGACGTCCGGCCTTTGCTGTTGGACCTCTGAGAACACCCGGTGCCCCTGAGCTCCTGCGTGGAACAGGAAGTGCCCTCTCCCGGAAATGGCACCTGGGAATGGCTGTCTTGCCGTTGCCTTTCTGCCCTGTTCCTCCTTCGGGCACAGAGACTCAGAGCTCCTGTTGGCTCAGCTAACGCAGGGGCTGGGTTTGAGATTCACCGGCCTCGCCCGTTACTGCTCCAAAGTGGGGCCAGGCCAGCACCAGAACCGCTTACATGCTGCTGGGCTTTGGGCCTCAGCACCATCCCTACAGTCAGCAATACCCATTCGTTTTTGCTACTCTCCACAAAGGCCTCTCAGGGTCTGTGGATTTTTCCCGGCATGGGCCAAATAACCCACTAGTGGAAAGCTGCCACGTCCAATCTGTATGCCAGGGCCAGCAGGACACGCAGGCAGGTCTGTTCCCCTTCCGAGCGCTCAGCTGGCTTAGCCGGCCCTGACTGAAAACCAACGCGACAGCATCTGCCGACTCTCTGCTAGCTTGTCCCCCGCACAGAACTGCTCCGCGGTCAGCACAGTCGGCGATAACACACTGAACCACCCTCTGCACGTCTCAGTTGTAGCTCACAAAGGCCCGCACAAAGGGAAGTAGGTAGGGACACCCCCACGTGAAAGATGGGGAAACTGAGGCACCAGGGAACATGACTCCCCGGTGGCGCTCGGCATGTCAAAGGCTGATTCAGGACTAAACCCACATCTCCTGATACCCAACCCAGGGACTTAGCCTTCAGGTGACTCTGCAGGTGCCTCTTACTAGAAGTCCCAGTCAGGAAGAGTGGGGAGGGACAGGAGGCAGGAAGGAGTCAAGTGGCCTGGCAGAGCTGTGTGGACCTGTGCCGGCTGGCTGGCTCCGCCTGGTGCTGGCAAGGCTCTGGGTTCATAAGCATTAAGAAACGCCGGGCAGAGCCCATGGAGGCACATAGCGCAGCACAGATCATAACAGCTCCTGACTCTGCCCCCCGCTGCCTTCCTCTATGACCCACTCTGGTTTCTCACCCTCCTGTTCCAGCCGCTGGCGATGAGACGCCTTGAACATGAAAAGCGAAGGAAGGAGATTAAGGAGCAGTGGCACCGGGCACAGAGGAAGCTGGTAGGTAACGCACGGCCGCAGCGGGCCCGGAGGGTGTGTCGTCACTGTACCCCAGGCTGTGACAGCCCCTCCCAACGCACCTTGTGCATCCCAGCGTCAGATTCCTGGCCACGCTCAGTGCCACATTAGAAACAAGCTCCGTTGGATTCTCAGCCACGCTCAGTGCCACGTTACAAACACGCCCAGTTGGATTCCTGGCCACGCTCAGTGCCACGTTACAAACACGCCCAGTTGGATTCCTGGCCACGCTCAGTGCCACGTTACAAACACGCCCAGTTGGATTCCTGGCCACGCTCAGTGCCACGTTACAAACACGCCCAGTTGGATTCCTGGCCACGCTCAGTGCCACGTTACAAACACGCCCAGTTGGATTCCTGGCCACGCTCAGTGCCACGTTACAAACACGCCCAGTTGGATTCCTGGCCACGCTCAGTGCCACGTTACAAACACGCCCAGTTGGATTCCTGGCCACGCTCAGTGCCACGTTACAAACACGCCCAGTTGGATTCCTGGCCACGCTCAGTGCCACGTTACACACAAGCCCAGTTGGATTCCTGGCCACGCTCCGGGCCATGTTAGAAATAAGTCCAGATTCCCAGCCATGCTCAATGCCACATTAGAAACAAGCCCACACCACACTGGTCTGCAGTTGCCTTTGCAATTAACCTGATGGACAAGCAAGGTGGGAAATGCCCAAAGAAATGTGCATCCAAGCGACTATAACCCTAACCCACTCCACGCTCCGGGCGGCAGGACAGCAGCTCTCCCATCGCAAGGGGATCTGCTCTTCCAACTCCTACGTCAGTTTCATGGCAAGAGTGCAGAACTGTTTCCTTATTATTAGCCTTGGGGTAGACCACGGGACCCCAGTTCTAGAGCTGCTCCCTCGTGCGCTGGGAGGGGCACACATGCATAACAAAGAGGCAGCCTCTGCCCCAAAGAGCTTACAGTCAAAGTTTCCTCCCCTCCATGCTCACTCCTAGCCCGTGTGCAGAGTTTGTTAGTGCTCAGCCTCATTCCACACTCCTCCCACTCAGCCGCGAGAGACTTTCCCCTAAATCAGTCCCCTTGGATCATGCTCCCGTTGTCTGTCTGGCAGCAAGAGGCGGAGACCAACCTGCGCAAGGCCAAGCAGCTGTACATGCAGCGCTGTGAAGAGCACGAGAAGGCCAAGTATGTCACCGTGAAGGCGGAAGAGGAACAGCAGAGCACCAGCAGCACCACCACCACCAAGACCCTGGACAAGAAGAGGCGGCTGGAGGAGGAGGCCAGGAATAAGGTGAGGCACAGGGAGGTACCAGGACACCGCTGGCTGGGTGCCCACTCCACCGTCGGCTGTACATGCAGCGCTGTGAAGAGCACGAGAAGGCCAAGTATGTCACCGTGAAGGCGGAAGAGGAACAGCAGAGCACCAGCAGCACCACCACCACCAAGACCCTGGACAAGAAGAGGCGGCTGGAGGAGGAGGCCAGGAATAAGGTGAGGCACAGGGAGGTACCAGGACACCGCTGGCTGGGTGCCCACTCCACCGTCGGAGCCTTTTGTGCCCAAAATGTTCTGCATCCCACATAGGGGCAACTGGAGAAGGGTGAGACAGGGACCCACCGATCACCTTACCCCCCCCCTCCAGGCCAGGGAA